CCATGGTTTGGATAGAAAAGTCACCTTGTAGCCCGAATTCTGCAGTGAATTTGTTAAATATGTTAAGTGCCCTATTGTAAGTGATAGCAGTGTTGGGTGATAATGCTTGGTGAGTGAGTGATCTAGCGTGAAGCAAGAGTGTGCTTAATCCAATATTAGTTCGTGAAACCGTGGTGTCCTGGATGGCTGTTGGTGAGCTGCTGGGAGTGCCTGAGAAAATGCCTGGAATCGAGAACGAGAAAGAGCGTCAGCGGCGGTGTTGTGAATACCCGGGATGTGAGAACATACTAAGTGAAACTGATTGGATGCTGCCAGCCAGGTCAACTTGCGAATCAGCCGCATGATGGTCAGGGATGATGAGCGCCCTTTGTTAATGATATCGCAAGCTGCCGAGTTATCTGAGTAGCATTTTACTGCCTTGCCGGACCAGAGATGACCCCAGGTGTGTGCGGCCGCCACAATGGGGTAAATTTCAAATAGGGCTGAGGTCTCCCTGAATCCTGGCAAGGCATCCGTCTCGTCTCAGTGGTTCCCGAAAATGGCTGCGAAACCGGTGTTGGCTGCTGCGTCTGTGTGGATGATGGGTGAAGAGGTGGAGAGAGGGGGGATAAACATGGAGATACCATTCCAGTCTTTCAAAAACTTCCCCCACATAGCTAAGTCAGCCTTGGCGTGGGGGTCCAAAGAAACAGTGCCGGAGTCCGGGACTCCGTGGAGCAGGCAAAGAAGTCTGGAAATGAAAGACCTTCCCTGCGGAATGATGCGCATGGCGAAGTTCAGAGATCCAAGAAGGGACTGAAGTTCTCTCCTGGTGCAAACGTCATTCCGCAAGAACGTGTCTATCTCCCCTCTCAATCGTGAAAGTTTGTCGTGTGGAAGGCTGGCTCTGAGTTTGACAGAATCGAGCTCTATGCCTAAAAAGGTCAACTTTGTTGTGGGTCCTATAGTTTTGGCTGGGGACAAAGGGACTCCCAGTGTGGAAAAAAGTGCGGTAGTACTATTGATTGCTGTGGGTGTTGATGACCCTGGCTCTATCAGTAGAAAGTCGTCTAGATAGTGAATAACGGAGTGACACCTGATGACGTTCAGAAGCAGCCAGCATAGTGACTCTGCGAAAATGTCGAAAAGTTTGGGGCTGCTTCGAGAACCAAAAGTGAGTCGTGTTGAGAAGTAATAATACCCTCGCCATTTAACACCGTGTAAGTGCCAGAGTGAGGGGTGTATGGGCAGTAATTTAAAGGCGTTAGTGATGTCTGTTTTGCTGAGCCAGGGTCGATTACCAGATGTCATGATGGACTGTATGGCGTCGTCGATGGTGACGTACTGCAGAGAGAATTCGTCTGCTGGAATGAGTGCGTTTATGCTTGGAACAAAAGAGGAGTGCGGTGCCGATAAATCGATAATGAGACGTTTTTTATTAGAATATTTGTGAATAGCAATACCAATAGGGTTAGTGCGCCAGGAGGAAAACGGTGAAGAGGTGAAAGGACCGATCATGAAACCGTTTGTGGTTTCTGCGGAAATGAGAGTGTCTACAGCGACTGGGTCTAAACGTGCAGACTGGAGATTAGGACATTCTAGTGTACCTGGGGGAATGGCTACTATGCCTGTGTGAAACCCTTGTGAGAAACCTGTGGTGAGAAAATCCACTAAGTGCCTGCTGGGGTGAGACCTTAGATAAAAAACCAGGTTGTCGATATTAATGTCGGTTAGTCATTTGTTTGGTGACAACCTGGCTGGACACATGGTCTTGGTATGTGCCCTGAAACATATGGAGCAGATGTGCAATAATCTACAGGCGCTGAAACTGCAGGAGCCTGCGTTGAAATTATTACACACCTGTGCTTTACCTAAAAAGGAGATGGGCCTACCCAGCTTATCCCGGAGACCACCCGCTGGCTTGTTGTGAGGGGTGAAAGAGGAGTGAGGTGTGAACGTGGGGTGAGGGGTGGGAGTGGAGGTGGTGGGATCTGGTTCGACGGGACATAAGTCCGCCATGTGGGATGTAGAATTACAGATGGCACAAGCCGGGGGCCTGAGTCCAGCGAAGTGGCGACAGAAAAGTTCCGTGTCCATCTGACCCCAGTTCATTCTAATGTTGAACTGCTTGAGATGGGTCGCCGCCTTCGCTGAAACTGACTTGTGGTAGTCATAGAAGGAAGAGCCCCCGTACTTGATGCCTAGATCCACTACCTTGTGGAGATAGAGATCTAGCTCTTCTCTCCTATGGGGATACACCGTGCAAATGACGTCGCGGTATATCCCAAAAGCTATCACAAACTGTGGGATAGACAATTTTTTATTAAGCCTGGGATCCCTCGTTTTGAGCACAACTGAAATGTCACCATAATTGTATGCCTTGTTCTCGAGTACATCCTGAGAGGCTATGAGTAAAGACACCAGACACACATCCTTCCCGTCTAGGATATCTTTCCTGATAGAATCTGGGACGGAGTGTGCTGGTGACTCGAAAGGTGTGATGGCTGTGCCAGGTGCTGGAGGGGGGAGTATAGAGGGACATGTAGGTATGGCAGGTACAGCCGTGGTAGAGACTGGGACTACGGTGTTAGTACCTGAGGAGGAGATGGCGCTCTCCACCTTAGACAGCCTGCTATTGAGGGTCTGTAGATTGACCAAGATATCTGCCAGGGTATCCTGGGTGGCCGTGCTGTTTCTTGGTGGTTGTCCTTGAGAGCTAGTTCCCGGCCGAGGCTCGGGGACTTGGTGGGTAAGCAGCCTGTAAAGTTCTGCCTTTCTAGCTGTGGCCGGAAAGGGGATTCCCCTGAGCCTAAGCTCGGCCGTGATTTTGGGAATAGTCCATGCTCTCAAGGACGTGGGGGTTGAAAGAGTAAGTGATTCTCCTGGAGACACGGGTCTGATTGGCGTGAATGGTGTTTCTTCTATCGGTTCTTCGGTTGGAATTGGTTCTTGGGACATTCTAAAAAGGAATGATTATGTGAAAGATATATTAGAAGGGGAGTGAGGTAAGAAGGGGGGGGGTATGGGGAGTGGTGTGTCTGGAAGAACTGGACTTTAATGCTAGATGCCGAGGCGAAAAACTTAACTATTGAATGACTGGATAGGTGAGGCCCTGCTAATGCCAAGTGGCGGTGAGAGGCTCTACCTATGATTTGGCTTATGACGTAGGTGCCACAGACGTGGTGGCGGGATGTTGTCCTCTCGGTGACGATAAGAGAAATCAAAACGTGTGGCCGTGACAGGTGAGGCCCAAACTAGAGCCCTGTAGTAAGGCATGCGAGGCTTATAATTATGATTTGGGCATGGGGCCGTACCTCCGTGTTGAGGTGGGGTGGGGGTGGTAGGCCTCGCGGGATCAGATTTCCTGATAGGGTGGGCTAAGGCATTAGCCTGTGCCGTATAGCCAGTTCGATTGTATGCTTAAGGGTAAAGTTAGAGGACTGGAGTGGTGTGCGGATACTAACCTTGACTGGTCGCAAATGGTATCTGGAGCCTCCTGATAAGTGTAGAGAGTCTTGTCTTAATGTTGTCTTTGAGGAAGAATCCTGGGGGTTTAAGACAGATGTTGATGTGTTTATACGTATCGTGATGTCGTATGAAAAGTATTGGGAGAAGGTTTGTTAGGGGCACCACGTGAGATCCTGCATTGAGGGATCTGGGAGGTTAAGGTGTAGGAATGGGATGATTTTGGATATGAGTGAGAAGGCAGAATGAGGCCTTGGGGTAGCGAATGGACGTACTTGAGTAAGGTATGGCTGAGTACCGGGTCAGGTTTTTGGTGTCTTCTGAGCCTGATGGCCGTATGACCGAAAGTCTGTGTAGACAAGTAGTAAAGAGATAACGTATCCTGGGCGTAAGCCTGAGGGAAGGTAGTAATGGAGTTGAGACCGCGTGAGGTCTAGTATTGAAAAGAGAGTGAACTATACCTTGGTTTTAAGTACAGAGATTGTTTAATCGTTGCAGGTTAACTGCGTAGAAACGGTGGAAGCTTAGATAAATACAGGATCTAAGGGTTTAACCAAGACAAATTCCATATTTAGCAATAGATGTGAAGATAATTGATAAAACCTGAAACTCAAGGTGATAATAAACCATACCTGTTCCTGTAATAAAAGGACCTTGAAATAACAACTTTATGCAGAAAAGCAAGAGACCGATGCAATCTGTAAAAGCCAAAATGTGACAGCGTGATTTATGTGCAAGGAATAGTACGGATTATGTGTAATGGGTATAACTTGTAAATAGTGTTTAACTGACTTATCTGAGTGTTATTTGGAAAGAATGGTATAGCTTGTATATAGACACGTATGAAGTTATGAACCATGGTAAAACATTATGTTTATTACAGAAAAATACTATAAATGGTTTAACAAGGTAGGAAAACACAGGGCTGGTAGTTAACCGGATAATGTAACCAAAAACTGATATGAAGGAATAAATAATAGTAGGATAGTGTGATTAGAACTTATGCATGCTTAGCTTAAAAGAATAGAAATAACCGAATGTAAAATAGTAAGATGGTGTTCGTGAATTTTACCATACGAATACTTTGGTGCTGAAATGACCGAACAGAAAAAGTGAATACAGATAATAATGAATTTAAACATGAAATATATATTCGGTTGTTTCCGTATGAAAATGCTTTAAATGATAGCGAAATGAGCCGAACGTTCGTGCGTTTTTTGGCGCGAATGGAGATATTAACGAAAAGCGTGTATTCGTGAAAATGCGAAAGAGGGAGCCTACCCCTACGTTTTTAGGCCCGAACGGCGGGGAAATAGCGAACGCTAATTCCCACGCCTTGCTTACGTGAACGCGCCGGTCTCGTGACCGGGAGTCGGGTACCTCGACCGGAGGGAAACGGAGTGGAAGGACCTCGGACGGACGGAGGATTGCACAGGGCCTCTGGCTGCTGGAAACAGGTACAGTTCTGGCGGGAAGCTGGACCGGAAGTGCTGGTTGCTAAGGACAATCAGCTGAGCGGCAGCGGTGAGTAGGGGCTGGGAGCTTAAGTAGGGGACTTACTCCTCCCACAAATTCAGGCCTAATGGCCTTTCTACATATATATATATATATATATATATATATATATATATATATATATATATATATAAATATATGTATTAAGGCAGTTTTGCCTGTATTTGTGGGAGGGGCTTAAATTAATTCACTCCCCTATATAAGGGACACCTCTTACCTGACTCATATCGCTTGAGGTCAGCATCAGAATGATTTCCACTTCCGGGTCATCCAGACGCCATTTTACCTGATTACTCCATGAGGTTTTCTAAGCAGAGCTGTGTCAGGAATCCAGCCACAGGCTTTTCCGGCCTACCACCTTCTTTCTTCAATCCATCGCCGTGGATGGTGTCCAAGTGACTTACAAACCGTAAGTCGACCTACCCGTTACGCCAGGCATCAGTCCCACGGCACCATGCACGGGTCAGGTCCTCACTTTACGGCTGCATTTTGGCTATGTCTGTTCTAAAACCATTGCATGTTCATGCATATCATTCGTTTAAACCCCCTACCGGTCTTTGGGTGTACTACAGGCTTCTTAGACATTATTGCATTTCATGTACAAACCAACGAACCACTGCATTTTCGCCTACACACTGACCCCTACCGGTCTTTGGGTGTACTACAGGCTTCTTAGACATTATTTCATTTCATGTACAAACCAACGAACCACTGCATTTTTGCCTACACACTGACCCCTACTGGTCATTCGGTGTACTACCGGCTTCTCAGACATTATTGCATTTCATGTAAAAACCAACCAACCACCGCATTTTTCACCTACACACTGACCCCTATCGGTCATTCGGTGTACTACAGGTATCTTAGACGTTTTTTGCATTTTTGTGTACAAACCAATAAACCACCTCATTTTCACTTACACACTGACCCCTACCGGTTTTTGGTGTACTACAGGCTTCTTAGACATTATCGCATTTCATGTACAAATAAACGAATCACTGCATTTGCGCCTACACACTGACCCCCTACTGGTCATTTGGTGTACTACAGGCTTCTCAGACATTATTGCATTTCATGTACAAATCAACGAATCACTGCATTTGCGCCTACACACTGACCCCTACTGGTCATTTAGTGTACTACAGGCTTCTTAGATGTTATCGCATTTCATGTACAAATCAACGAACCACTGCATTTGCACCTACACACTGACCCCTACCGGTCATTCGGTGTACTACGGGCTTCTCAGACATTATTGCATTTCATGTATAAACCAACAAACCACTGCATTTTTCACCTACACACTGACCCCTATCAGTCATTCGGTGTACTATAGGCGTCTTAGACGTTTTTGCTTTTCATGTACAAAACAATAAACCACTGCATTTTCACCTACACACTGACCCCTACCAGTCATTCAGTGTACTACAGGCTTCTCAGACATTATTGCATTTCATGTACAAACCAACAAACCACTGCATTTTCACCTACACACTGACCCCTACCAGTCATTCAGTGTACTACAGGCTTCTCAGACATTATTGCATTTCATGTACAAACCAACGAACCACGGCATTTTCGCCTACATGCTGACCCCTAATGGTCAATCGGTATACTACAGTCTTCTCAGACTTTATTTCACTTCATAAGCAAACAAACTAACTACAGCATTTTCGCTTTTATACTGACTCCTATCTGTCAAATGGTAGCATTAACCCCTTAAGGACACATGACATGTGTGACATGTAATGATCCCCTTTTATTCCAGAAGTTTGGTCCTTAAGGGGTTAAAGGGTATTTTTAACATACAATCAGCATTTCTGACCCCTACTGGTCAACAGCAAAACTGTCTTCACATGTCATATACAATTTACCAGCCAATATAAATTACACATAAGATTGTTTTAAACATAACTATAGACCATAAATTAAACTCCAGCACGGTCTCAACTTCAGGTTTAATTCACAATAATTTACATTTCACATCAAGACCAACAGTGGTTCTATCAACACTGCCACCTACAGGTCTGTCAAGTACATTGACAATTTTCATGGGGTTTTACAAACACCAAAACACTGGCACCTATAGGTCAACAGACAAACAACATTTCACATACCAATCAGTATCCAACTACACTGCCACTTATAGGGCACTCGGCAGATCTCCAGTGCACTTGCATTTTGCAACACCATGTTCACTGACCCCTACCATTCAATAAGACATACAACAATTCACATAGTAAGCACTATATCAACATCTGGTATGAATAAATACATATATTATTACACAGTAGCAGACGCATCTGTATATATGTAACTGGTAATATAGTTCACATACATTTTTCACAGCACGCTGCTCCCGCAACAGACTTCCCCTAACAAGGGGACATACAACATACAAGGTGGGGACAGACCACATTTTCACTTGTACATACGGCACTTAATGGGTTAAGATTTATACATATTTAACCAGTATGGCTACGATGTTTAATATTTACACATCATGGCACTTTACTTTTCACATATACTGTACGTATTAAGATAAGCTTGGTCTATGTCATATTTCCTTATGCCATACGGTTTTATCCATTCAGGTTACAGTTACTACTAAAAAACCTATACGGATTGTCAGGTTCAATACCATACTACCAGGTACATACACCTGCTCACGTAGTTATCCATCTCTTACCTTCCCTGGAATAGTAATAGTGTACTGGCAATTAGGGTTCTAGGGCCCAATAGGTATTACCCCCTTTGTTCTCTGCATTATGCTTCGGTTAGTGGTCCCGCGAGGCCAACACCCCGCCTCACACTCGGAGGCATACACCCCTCGGGCCACTCGTGAGCTAGCCGCCTCGCATTGTATCATAGAGAGGATCTCACCTGTCACTCCCCTTCCTATTTTCTGGTTACTGTCACCGAGAGGCCAACATCCTGCCACAACGTTCGGTGGCCACACAAAATCCCCTCGCACCAAGCATAGATAGAGCCTCTCAAGCCACTTGGCAACTAGCAGGGCCTCACCAGTCACCAAAAAACAAACAAAAAAAAAACAAAACAAAAAAACACCAAGCCTAATCGTTTCGCCTTACGGCTTAGCTAGCAAGCCAGTACAAGAACCCTGGGTACAAATAATAATGGCAATCTTTATTGTTATTTAAGTATTTCTCAAAAAGATGGTGAAGAATCACCTCTTCCTAGCACCCCAGCTAGAATTGATACACCTTCAAGCAGAGGAGATGTTGCTAGTCCAGCAGCAATCAGATCCTGGACGATCCCACACATTACCACGACCTAAGGAGGTGACAAATCCCCTACCCTGCTACAGCAAGGAAAGCAGTTATTCAAACTCCTCCATACATCAACGGACAACACGGAGGCAGGGGAAGGCCTAGCTACATCAACTCAGGTGACACCCAGGCTATGCTATCTTCACTCATAAACTCATGAGCCAAAAAATTTATGACAGACTGGCAATCTCGAGTTGGTCACCACAGCCCTCACGCTACTGTACAACCAGCACCAACCGAAACTCGGTTACCTGGTACAATCAATTCTTATGACACACAAGATGTTAAACCTGCACGTATGATCCCAGCACATTGGGGAAGCAAGGCATATATATGTATGATGATGTATCTGTGATGGTCAGATCCAGGGATTCCAGGTAAATCGGGAACTGACCATCCCTTGGTTGGGTTGGCATTTGGAATATGTGGAGATGTTTATTTGTGCAGGTACCCATACAGAAGGGATTTTGTCCCAAACAAATGGACGAGCACTCTCAGGCTCCAGGTACCAGCACCTCTGAACTACCAGAGACCACTGATATGAGTAGTTGCATTGCATACAGACTGTTGCATATATGTTCAAATAGTTCAGGGCACATGACAAACCATGTGTCCCAATACAACTTACAAATAACGTATTCACCATCTGTACACACCAATGCATTTTCAACACTACTGACTCATCACCCTTCCAGACTTGTAGTAGATTTACTAAAGCTCTGGAGCTTCAAAGGGCTCCCATACAGGGATCATAAACACACCTTCAAGGAATATAGCATGCCCTCACTTACAGTCAGCACAACAAAACCATTGGCTGTAAACACACTCATAGCCAAGATTTGCAGAGGGGTCTTCCAATCTCCACCATTTACAACATGGCACCAAACACACACATTGGTATTGTCACAAGGAATCTTCCCTTAAACTAAGAAAACCATAGACTTATTGGCACCACACACCTCCGCTACCCCAAGCTACCCCAAGTCTCAACTCCCTCATACCCTCTGAGGATTTTTCTTACTATACAACACCATTGATCTACCTTTACAGCTATCACTCAAGCATGGGTTGAAGCTTGGTTAAGTAAGACCAATATCATCAACGCAGTAAACGGCTACCATCTACCCTACACACTGGCACTTACATGGCATAAATTGGGCAATCCTTTCCCCGCTCAACTTTCGAGCTACAGATTAGCCTACTATCGATATTCGCAGATACTCTGTGCTGGTTATGATAACATATCCAGAGGCCTTACAGTCATACACTATCTAGAAGACTTCTTGTTAATCAAAGAAAGCATATTTTTCACTAGAAGCCTCACGGCAGCTTAGTCTGGTTGACCACTTGGGCGTCCCAGTACCCCATAAGAAACAGAAGGCCCAGACACTATCTTCACATTACTGGGCATATGACTTGAGTCGGCATCCATACACGCAAGTTACCACAAGACAAATAGGGAACATTCTCAACTACATCAATCACTACCTCCTGCTTAGTACTTACAACTGCAAGGAACTACGATCCCTACCAGGTTCCTTAATTTTGCCATGCCAATCATACCACAAGACCACGCTTTCACATCCAGAGTACTTTCCCCTTTTTTCCACACTTCCAACATGACGATCAGAGGATGTCCCTTGACACCTCAGCAACAGCAGACCTGCACATGGGGCACGCTGTTCCTTCCAGGTAAAAGCATGTTCCTTCCAGGATTGTCTGACACTTCTCCAACCAGATGGTCAGACGCAGCGTCTACCACGGGTTTGGCAGTGATCTACCGGGAACAATTGCTTTGGAGCTGTTGGCGATGGCATCCAGGTTTGGAAATTTTTCCGCCACCTCAGCCCCTTTGGGAGATCTACCCCATTGTAGCAGCTGCTGAGGCATGGGTTAAATCATGGTCAGGGTCATCAATCCGTTGTTACTCAGGCAACTAAGCATATGTCATATTATCAACAAACGCCACTACTCATCCATAAGGTCATGATATTTCTGGGGAACTCACTTGGTTGGCCACTTATCACATTTCACTTTCATGTACCAGACGGGGGTATACATCCCTGCCGACAACTGTCTCATTTATATTCCAGGCATGTTCATCATACGCTTCCTACAGCCGCCCATACATTCACGGCCACTCTTTCGTTCCAGAGACAAAATCATGGATTAGACATACTCATGCAGCATAGCATGCACTATCCCACCTAGCACTCTCGTCCCATACTTGTAGAACACATAACACAGCTTTTCACCTGGCTTAAAGAATCTCATTGGCACACGACATAGCTCAACCTGTGTCATAACATTTCTCATAGGTTTTGCTTCTTTTTGCCACCTTAAACTTAAACTATCTCACACACCATTAATTATATATTTTACAGGCATTCAACAACACAGGATAACCTATGGCCAAAACTACCATAACTTCATGCTATCATACCAGACAAGAATATACTCAGGTTTTCAGGAATCCATTCCCCCACGTTCCTCTCAGAGATTACCAATAGCCATCCAACTTTTCATCATTATCGGACCTATTAGATCTACAACCATTCAATTATACTACCAAGTCGGCCATTACCAGCTATGCACATTGCCTTTTATGCCTTTCCCAGGCCAGAGAATCCACTACCATCACCACCACTCAGACAGATCATTGTCTTCAATGATCCCACGTACGTAAACACATATAGCATTACCTATTGGCTCTACCACATTCCGAAACGAGTCAACACGCACCAACAGTAGAGATAACATACTATCCTACCCACAACAAATGGTGTCCACTTTCGGTCCTAGATTCCTACCTTCAAAATCCTTTCAGGAATTAAATACTGTAATGCTTTTAAGGAAATGTCTGGTTAATTTGTATATATTTGTTGACTGTATTACATCTTTGATTATTCATTTTTGCCCTCTTTATTTACAGGCCTACCGTATCGTCGGTCTCGGCACACCACAACCGACTTGCTACCTTTATACTATCCTACGCTTATGCTGGATCCTTACTCCATATACAGCTATTTGCCCCTTACACAAGTATTAAGGCCGTTTGGCCTGTATTTGTGGGAGGGGCTTAAATTAATTCCCTCCCCTATATAAGGGACACCTCTTACCTGACTCATATCGCTTGAGGTCAGCATCAGAATGACCCTCCCACCCACTCCTCATTTCAACACTCTCTTTTCTTTCCATTTACTTTACTTTCTTACTCCTTGGTGGGCCCTCTTTATTTACAGGCCTACCGTATCGTCGGTCTCGGCACACCACAACCGACTTGCTACCTTTATACTATCCTACGCTTATGCTGGATCCTTACTCCATATACAGCTATTTGCCCCTTACACAAATAAATATATATATATATATATATATATATATATATATATATATATATATATATATATATATATATAATATCTATCTTGAAAAAGACCCTTAGGGGTCGAAACGTCGATCAGGATTATTTGCACTATGATGTAATTTTTTTCATTACAATAAATACACCGTGTCGAAGTCCTTTTGAGTGCTCCATTTCATCGGTTTACCTATATATATTTTGGATGTTGGAAGCACCAAAGGCAGCTGTATTGAAAAGATTTCAAGGGTGAGTGCCTAAATTACCTTTTTATATATATATATATATATATATATATATATATATCAGAAATGACCGCACTCCAAGGACTTTATAGAAATTTTCAAATAAAATTTAGCTTTTATTCAATCCATTTAAAAAGTCAACGTTTCAGCTTCCACATGGAGCTTTCATCAGGACAAAACATAACTTACAAGTGCAGACACAAAGAAATATATACCCCCAATCCCTCAAAATAATTTACCTTAATTGTGTACTCACCTAGCCATGAGACAGCTTGCCCTGCATTAGAGGGTAATGTATCTCTGAGTGTGGTGGCCATGTGTGCAAGGCCCAGGAAAGGGGCGGGGCTAAAGTTACTTAGTAACAATCCAACTGGACTGATTGCTTTCCACCTTGTGGCCTAGTAGCTACAATCATGATTGAGCTCAGGGTAAAGTAGGAGTGGATACAGAGTCTAGAATGTTTCAAGAATGAATCTGTCTGTGTTCATATATTTTAAACAGTATAACAGACTGGAAGGGCATCAGGAATCCAAAATCTGTTATCATACTGGAAATTCACTCTTTGAGTGCTGGAGCAATTCATCCAATGCAGCACTGAAAGGGTGTATCTGTTCCTGTGTAACTGAGGAAAGAGCTGGACTATAAATCTATTCTTAAACTTGTAGCAAATAGGGTGGGCATATCTCATGGTTCGGATCTAAAAAACACATTTAATATAGACATACATGATTTAAAAAAATAAATAAAAACAACGGCTCAAGGCAGGAGATGTTACCATGTTAAT